TATATATATGAAGTCTCTGATGCCTCAATGTAATTTTTATTTTTGTTAAATACCTTTCTCCTCAACTGTTAAAAAGCTGACCCAATTTGATTTGGGAGATTCCATTTTTTCCCAAATTCTTACATAATCAGTCCAATTATATGTAGGTGTTCCCATTGCCTCCTCTTTTAATTTTTGTGTGTCTTAAATTTTAGTTGTTTTGTTTAATTTTCATATTTCCCCCCTCAGGCTCATTATGTTGCTTGTTCTGGGTTTAGGAATAATGCCAATAGATATGTCCACCTGATGCATCCTCCCTTCTGATACCTATATAATCTTGACCTTTTGATGTTGTTATGTACTGGAAAGGCAATAATTTTTCAATAGGTTTTAATTTCTTTATTTTTGCTAATAAGTAAAATTTGATGTTGTTATGTACTGAAAAAGCAATAATTTTTCAATAGGTTATAATTTCTTTATTTTTGCTAATAAGTAAAATTTGATGTTGTTTATGTACTGAAAAAGCAATAATTTTTCAATAGGTTATAATTTCTTTATTTTTGCTAATAAGTAAAATTTGATGTTGTTTATGTACTGAAAAAGCAATAATTTTTCAATAGGTTATAATTTCTTTATTTTTGCTAATAAGTAAAATTTGATGTTGTTTATGTACTGAAAAAGCAATAATTTTTCAATAGGTTATAATTTCTTTATTTTTGCTAATAAGTAAAATTTGATGTTGTTATGTACTGGAAAGGCAATAATTTTTCAATAGGTTTTAATTTCTTTATTTTTGTTAATAAGTAAAATCCAGGTGCTGAAATAAGCTCACCATGAAAACCAATATCTCCCTACCAATTTTCTTTGAAATATTGTAATATCTCTCAGAATATTCTTAGTACTATTTGTTTTGATATGGAAACTTCAATGCTAGTGGGTTTATTTGGACACAATCATTGTCATTAAGGGGTGCTGGATTGTAACAATTCTATACCGAATAAACTTAATTTTTGTTCAATGTGTTATTTTGAGGAATCAAATTCAAATTATGGTTGTAAAAAAAATGGCTGAATATCATGAGATGTTGTTGTCATATTTTAAATTACAACTGTTGACTTGCCCTGTTCTGAATCACACTGCAGATGGTGATCGATGGGGCCTGTGAATGGTTGATTTTGTGGATGATGTAACTCTGTAAAACCCGTTTTATGATCACAAGCATACAATTTTAAATACCAGTGAAAATAAATGGTTTTACAGTATTAGTATTATAAGTCTGAGCTGGTAAAATATCATAAATAAATGGATAAATGAATAAATGGATGGACATTACAAAAAGGGAAAAAAATAATGACAAATTTTTCGAG